GTCCTCGAAGTTATCTACTAATATAGTAATGTCCTTGAAGTGTCCTTCAAGTCTTCGAAGTCTTAGAAGTCTTCGACCTATCTAGTGTGAAGTCACCACACAACTAACACTCCCTCCTGACTGAACACATCTCTAATCTCTAACAACTCCCCCCTCATCTGTGTAGTCCCATCATCCTGCAAAATAGTTCCACCTTGGGTCGACTCAAAGACTTTGTCAAGATGTCAGCTGGCTGATCAGCTGTGGGCACAAAGATAGGCGCAATTATCTCTTTGTGAACAACGTCTCTGAGCCAATACCAACTAAGATCCAGTTGCTTCATCCTCCCGTGGTGTTCTGGGTGTTTGGCAACAGATATGGCGCTCTGGTTGTCTATTCTAAGTATGGATGGTGCAGTGGTGGAGAATCCCATCTCCTGCAGCAAGTTTCGCATCCATCGGATCTCCTTGCCTGCTGAGACTGCAGAGATGTACTCTGCTTCGGTAGTAGATAGCGCAACAATGCTTTGTAGCTTAGAAGACCACGAGACGACTCCAGAGCCAATCTTCACCAAGTATCCACCAGTGGAGCGCCCTGTGTCCTTGCATCCACCATGATCAGCATCGGAATAGGTTGAGAACAGTTCGGTGCTTGATGGATCAGGCGCATAAGTGATCTTGTAGTCGGCAGTACCTCTGAGATAGCGAAGCAGGTGCTTGACAGCTTGCCAGTGAGCTAATCCTGGATTCGAGTTGAATCTGGCAAGATAACCAACAGCGTGGGCAATGTCTGGTCGAGTTGTTGTTGCCAGGTACATCAGGGCGCCTACTGCAGCTAGGTATGGGACGGTCTTCATGAGCTGGACCTCTTCAGGCGTCTGGGGGCTCTGGGAGCGACTGAGTCGAAGGTTGGGCTGCATGGGAGTGGATATGGGCTTGCAATCAGCCATGCCAAAACGCTCGAGGATGTCTAGACAGTACTGCTGTTGAGATATGGTGATGGAGTGTTTAGACCAGTCTCTGTCTATCTTGATGCCCAGAAGCTGAGTGGTGGGACCGAGATCGCGAAGCTTGAAGTGCTGGGAGAGCTCCTTGATGGTGCGGTCGATGGCAGCAGCAGATTTCGAAGCAAAGGTCATGTCATCTACGAAGACTGGCAGAATGATCCTTACATTGTCCTTTAGATAGATGTAGATGGACGCGTCCGAGTAGGACTGAGTGTAGCCCAAAGACTCGAGCACAGAGCGCATTTTCTGGTTCCATCTGTTGCCTCCTTGCTTGGTGCCATATATGCTCTTCTTCAACAAGCAAACCATCTCTTTGGCATCTCCTTCAACAAATCCCTCAGGCTGCTCCATGTAGACGTCGCAGTCCATCTCCCCATTGAGGTAGGCATGAGATATGTCTATAGAGCGCAGGTGGAGGTCGTGAATGGCGGCCATGGCTAGGACGACTCTTATGCTGGACATTCTGACTGTGGGCGCAAATATTTCGAGGTAGTCGAAGCCAGGTCGTTGATTGTAGCCTTTGGCCACCAATCTGCCTTTGTAGCGCTCCACAGATCCGTCTGCATTGCGCTTCACCTTGAACACCCACTTGCAGCCTATGACCTTCTTTCCAGCAGGTCTGGGGACGAGCTGCCAAGTGCCATTGATGCTGTGGGCGTTCAGCTCCTCCATGGCAGCTTGTTTCCACTGCTCCGCATCAGGGCGCTTCAGAGCTTCGGAGTAGGACAGGGGTTCAGCTGGTGAAGCTGCAGAGAGAACAATCTCATGGCCAAGATCCGCGTCCTCAATGTCATCATCCACATCAGAGTGTAGTTGGGCTGGAGATAGCTTCCACCACTCTCTAGGCTTGGTTCTATTGCGCCTGGGCAGTCTGGCTCCAATGCCAATGGGCGAGGGCGGTCTAGGAGGTGGAGATGGTGGTGGGGATGGAGTTGGAGACGAGGCTCGGACTTGAGGAGGATCTGGATCAATATTAGGGACTACAGGGGCAGCAGGAGGCGCATCTGGAGGACCATTGCTCCCCCCATGATCCTGATACTCATCAGAGCTGGATTCATCATCAGCATCTGAATCGTCAGGTATTGGGAATGTCCTTCGTGTCTGTGGAATAGGTGGGACAGTAGGGCGAGTTGGTGCAAGTGTAGGTGCAGTAGGGACTGGTATCGAAGGCTCAGTAGGGTCGCTTCGAGAGGGGGAAATATCTTTCATCGAAATCAGCTCGTTCTGATATTACTGTCTTCTTAGTAGTGGTATTGTAGAACTTCCAGCCCTTGTAGCCCTGAGGATACCCAATGAACACGCATTTCTCCATGTGAGATCCGAGTCCTTCTCTCTTGTCCTTCTGCACGTGCACATAGGCAGTGCAACCCCAGACTCGAAGATGGGAGACATCTGGCTTCCTTCCATGCCACAGTTCGTAGGGAGTGGCGCTTTTCACTGCGCTTGTGGGGCATCTGTTCCACACGTGCACTAGGGCACCTAGAGCCTCGCCCCAGAATGCTTTAGGTAGGCCAGTTTCATCCAGCATGGTGGTGATGCGCTCAGAGAGCAGCCTGTTGGCTCGCTCTGCAACACCATTCTGCTGAGGACGTGCTCGACTGTGTGCTGCCGTTCTATGCCACAGGAGTTGGTGAACTGCAAGAAAGCATTGCTCATGTACTCCCCTCCCTTGTCGTCCCTCAGGATCTTGATTTTTCGCTCTGACTGGTTCTCAGCATAAGCCTTGAATGTCTTGAAGGCCTCAAAGACATCAGACTTTGCTTTGATGGGCAGGACGAATCTGAATCTGGAGTAGTCGTCTATGAAGGACACCCAATAGCGAAATCCTGAGAAGCTGGGGTGAGGGACTTGGTGCACGTCGGTGTGGACGAGCTCGAGAGGCCTGGAAGCGCGCCATTCAGAAGGAGGGAAGGGGTTTGCGTGCATCTTGCCAGCTAGGCATGGTTCGCAGATAGGATCTGGTGCAGATTTCGACTCTATGGTCATCCCAGTGACGAGCTTCTCCCTTATAAGCATCTTAATACCTTCTAGGTGATGGTGAGCGAGCCTCCTGTGCCATAGGTCGAAGTCTAGGGGCAGAGTCGCAGCTGCAGACGCATATTCAGTTAATGCAACAGTAGAACCATCCAGGAATGCAGCATTCGAGTTGCTGATGCTGGCTACAAACAGTGGGGTACCAGTGGGGCGTTCGAAGGACATCTTAGATGCATTAATGAGCACAGCGAACCCCATGTTGCGAGTTAGATATAGGACAGATAGTAGATTATTTCGCAAATCTGGTACATGAAGGACTCTAGTGAATTCTACAGCTTCGACACGCCTCCCATTAATGACTGGACTGAATACCACTGTGCCCTCGCCAGCTGAATAGACTATGTTGTTGTCTGCGAGCTTGATAGGGACGCGTTTGGGCGCATAATTGCGCAGCCAGTGACGATGGGGGGTCATGTGAGAGGTAGCACCTGTGTCTGCATTCCAGTCAGCATGTGCATCGAGTTGCAAGGGGCAAAGCGGACGAGATGGGTCAAAAGTGCGAAGACTTGCATTACCAGCAAATTCCGTGACCTGTTGGGCGCTCTGGGAGGTGTTCTGGGCAGTGGTCGAGTTGGAGGCGGGTGCAGCGGTGTTGGGAGAGGGTGTAGACGCTGCAGACGATGATTGGGACGCCTCAGAAGCCTTGTTAGCGCTCCTTCCACCTTTTCGACCATTCGTTTTTGGTCTTGCGACGATCCTTATCACCTTTAAGACTCCTGCACTTGTGGGTGCAGTGACCAGGCTTCTCGCAGTACCAGCAGGTGACAGAGGTGCCGCATCTACAGTCTCCAGACGCAGTAAACAGCGCTGCATCGGTCCCAGAACCTTCAGGACGTCTCCTCCTTTGGGTTTCCTCAGCCAGGAATGCTGCCTTCAGTTCCTCCTTGTCCAAGGACTTGAGTAGCATCAAAGACGACGCAAAATTGGAGTACTCCTCGCCCAGGGAACGAACCATGGTCATGCAGACCAGCTCTTGATCGAGTTCCTTGATGGTGTAAGGCTTGGATGGGTCTGAGGGTCGAAGCTCCTGGACCTTGGACATGCCATCTTCGATCCTGGCAATGAGGGTGCTCAAGGACTCGTCAGGCTGCTTCCTAATAGAGAAGAAGTCGTCCCAGGCATTGAAGCGCGCGCCAGGACGCTTCTGGAGGTGCGTGGAAGCCAGGGTGGTCCAAATCTTGACAGGGTCGTCCTGGACAGCGTCGATATGGGTCCTTTGCTCTACAGAGCACGCCAGATACAGCTCCCCAGCTGCCTTGTCTGCCTTGGTGTCCCACTTTGCTGCAGCTTCTGTCTCTGTAGGTCGAGTCTCGATGCCATTGACAAGCAACCAGAGACCCTTGACTCGAAGATAGGCCTTCATCTCACCCTTCCAGGTAGCATAGTTGGTAGAAGTGAGTTTGGTGACAGTGCAAATAGATTTGGAGTCTTCTGAGGACATGGCGAAGGAGACGGCGCAGTTTTGCAGCAGTGGGACGAATTAAGGGCAAGGGCTTGGTAGAATTTGAAGGAAAGGCTGTCTTTGCTGATTTTCAACAAAGAGAGCAAGGGATAATGGGTGGGGAGAGCACCAGTGGCTGGATGCGAGAGGAGGGAAAATGCGCACTAAGTTGGCCCAAAGACAGTGAACTCCAGCGACAGATTTGACTGCTAAAGCGCAGGGCTCATAACCTGTTAGAAGAACTGAGAGTTCAAAGTCAATGCACATGATATTATTGTGTAAATAAGTAAAGTACTGTACCTGAGAGTTCAAAGTCAATGCACGAAGCATGTAAGACTTGTGAACTCTGCACTATGGGCGAGTCTATGTAAACAAATATAAACAATTCCTAGTATGGTATGTGTCCTCGAAGTGTCTTAGAGGTCTGTCCTCAAAGTGTCCTCGAAGTCCTCGAAGTCCTCGAAGTTATCTACTAATATAGTAATGTCCTTGAAGTGTCCTTCAAGTCTTCGAAGTCTTAGAAGTCTTCGACCTATCTAGTGTGAAGTCACCACACAACTAACACATGTTGCTTGCCAGAGGGATGGCCGGGCAAGTAATTTGGCAAAAAAGGAGACATTTTATTGTGATACTCCGGACTGTGCACCACATGGTGAGCATGTCTTGCTTGCGCAAATTAGACATCCTGAGCGGTAAGGGTCCCTAATTGTTACTATAAGTCAATGATATACCCTTTACAGTGTTTCCCACCACATAACTGTTCCTATGACGAAACATTTGTTGTGGGTTTTCCTGGATATGCAAGTGATAGCAACTCATTAACATTTACTATGTACAGACCAGGAAAGGGAGCATTAGCACGCCATGACAAATATTGGTACCCTGTCAGGATCAAGTCGTGTCGACAGGTTAGGGGAAACACAATGTATACAGTCAAATGGTGGAGGCATTGTTCTTTCAAACCCGACACTCAACCTCCACTTGAGGTTGGCGAGGCAGACTTAGTTGATGCACTCTATGGAGACCATAAACGTCGTCGCATGATTCGGGTGTGTACAACTCTTGAGATTCAATAGCAGACTTTAACATCCAAATCATAGCTTGGCAGATGGACACACGCGCACGAGGTTCCCCAGCACGAAGACGTCATCGCAAACTTTAGACACATTCCCTACAGCGTTTATATTGGCGAAGCATTGGCTCCTCACAGTGAACTCCTCACAAATATTTTTGAGCAACCTGATCCTGCGAAGATGTGCAATGCAGTCCCAGTAATTGGGTACCTTGCCGACCTATCGGAGAAGACAGGTCGCAAGCATACTACTGTGCCATATTGTGGTGATCTGTCTCTCACAGACTGTGCTCAGATTGCAAACTGGGTCTACCATCACATCCCTGGTGCATCAAAACAAATTGTCAATTGGCTAAACTGTGCTACCTATGCGCATGCGTGCACTATTGTAGTTGCAAAACGGAAGAAGAATCAACTCCAGGAGATGGCCGAAGATATTTTGACTGAACGTCGCTCAGCAGCACTTGACATAGACTCCAAGTCAGTTCCTACTCCCAAAGAAGAAGCAAATGTGATACTCCAGGCAGCCTGGCTTGACCTCCAACTCAGCTACGATCTGTCTGCAATGGACGTCGACGTTGATCTAAAGTGCCTTGGTATACTCGAACAACGAATGTTCAAACTCTCATTAGCCGCAGGTGCTGCAGGGAATGAACAATGGGGAAAAGACGCTGGCATGCACCAAGACCGATGGAACCCATATGAGGGTCTCCCCGAGCACTGGAATCATGGTGACCGAGATCCATATGCACCAGAATTTGAGGGAGAACTGGATGTACGTCGTTTTCATATTCACAGTGGCAGGTTGCATTAAAACAGTGCCGACCAACAGTGTGGGCTGAACTTTAGTGAAGGAAGTGAGCCCGAAGTCGTTAAGAAAGAGAAACATACCAAAAAGCCCAAACCACGGCCAAGGAAGGTACATGGAAGCACTTGACGTGCGCGAGGATGAGCATGCTATGCGCAACGCAGTCCCAGTATTTGGGTATGCAAGCACAAACGAACAAATACGAGGGCAAACGAACGAACGGGCTGCTGATCACAATCCACGTTATTGTAATAGTTGGGGTAGTAGGACCAGACACCCTCTTGAGGTGGGAGGTAGCTAGAGTACCTGGTTTTAAAACAAGTGAATGCAAGGATGAACGAACGAACGAACACGAGGACAAACGAGTGAACGTGAGGGCAAACGAGTCAACGCAGGGGCAAACGAGTCAATGCAAGGGCAAATGAGTAAAAATAAGTTTCAGCTTCCTGATGATATGGTTTATAGGTATTTACGAGCGCATTGCCATGTATTGCACCATCGCTCTTGTCCTTGCTGGACAGGATGAATCCTGCCATTCTCATCCGAGATGACTGGGCCACGAAACCTCACTTGTCTGGCACACCTTTGATCCTGTAAAGTCACCATGTCACATGTTTTTAACTTCCCAGAAGGACAAGCTCGCACCTTTCTCAGTAGCCTCACCTGCGCCATATCCTGCTTTTTTGTCACACTTTCGTTCGCGGAGGTAGGCCTTTGAAGAGGGATGTTGCGACACAAGGATGAAGATAACCAGGACTGCATTGAGCGATATCAAAGTTGTCGTCGTTAGCAGTGAGCACTAAGCATGGTGGACCTGCCGTATTAAATTTAAACCCAGCTGACACAACAAAGGTGAGTCGAAAAAGGCCACCCTCTTGTCAACCACCGAATGCATTTCAAGATTCGAGGAAAGACCAGCCAAATGAACGAACGTGAGAGAACTTCTTTGCATCTCATACGCACATTACCTAGGTGCACAAACTCGTACTGGGTGTGCGCAAAGGTCGGAATTTATGTAAGTTGGGTCGAGTTATGCATATCTGACTCTAAGTATGTCGAAGTGCAATAGTGGAGTCTGGGCATAAAGTTGTCATGGTGTCGGCAAGTCGTGCTCGTGTTTCCCTCTTCGCGACAGGAACATGCACGCTCAAATAAATACACTGGCAAAATAAACTGTGATTGAGCAGGGTTATTGGGGGCTCGCGGAGGCTCATCAATGAAATCAAGTATATATTCCCCTAGTAATAACGGTAGTTAGGAAGACCATCTCCAAAAAATAATTTTAACATGCTCTGCCGAAACATTGCTAGCGCCAAGAACAAGCAGTCTTGTAAGACAAGAAAGGACTCTCGCATGCTGCATTGAAGGCCCCGCACAACGTGGCTGGCCTGCAATCATTCAGTTCTTGACTTGAATTTCAGATACAGTAAGACTAACCGCCAAAAGGAAGTAATTGAGAACCAGATCCCAGGGAAAAGCCACTATGGCAACCCATGCAGTCCATACAGAAATCACTGCAGCAGTGAATACAGTTGCGAGCACGAACAGCACTCTCCAATAATCTTGTGTATCAAGCTCAAATCGATGAGACTAATTTAAATGCTTCAGAATGCAGGCCCTTGTGAACAAGAGATTGCAAACCCTGAATATGCGCCACATGCGAATCATCGAGCTCGCATTTGCTGATGAACTAGTATCTGATGAGTCATTTCCGATATGAGTTGTAAAAAAACACAAACAAAAACCTCCCACCCGTTTTGGCACGCCAGATCTGTATGTACGACTTCTGACCTTTCTGAGAAGAAGCTGCAGCAATGTAACTGTAATGGCCTTGAAAGCACTTCAGGGACAACACATGGTTCAGGGATTGCTAAGCCAGTTTTGCTGAGGAACGTACTGCCAGGCTTTGAATGATGACATCTTGTTAAGCCACGTTAAGCCATGAACCAACGAAAATTTCATATGGAACATACCGCCATGAGGAAGGTTCTGAAAAACTTCTCCGGATGAGGTCTCCCACATTCAAACCTCCCCAGTGTTGCTGCCGCAGATTACCTTTGAACCTCCTTCAAGGAACCGTACCTGAAGCGGGCGACCCTTTTCATTAGGCCTCCCAGGTACAACAAAACCCCATGATGGCCTACTGCCGCCAATCAGATACATGAAAAGACCTTTATGCATGGTCTGGACGATGAGAGCCTTGATCTCCAGAGAGGCAGCAGAGCTCCCACTGGAAAGTTATAGATTAGCATGAGCATCCCACTATGGAAATTGTGCAACACCGCCTACATTAACGGTGCATCCCAGGACCAAATCCTCCACAAACAAGTCATGCACTTAACATCCCATGCGCTGAAAGTCATTCAACTCCAAGCGAAGAAGAGCGTGATGACAGAGCACCCACATGACTCTGTGATGGAGGTATGATACAATTAGCATTGATGTTGTTCCGTTCTTGTGAAAATGAAGCCCTCTTGCTCGAACGGGTTGGGCGTTGTCACCAGTTGATTCCTCCGACGGTTGAGGGACCTTGAATGAGACTCCTAACCCGCTGGCTGCCAAACATAAGAATCAGGTAGAACGTGAAGCAAGGAACTGGCACTCGCGAGACTCATGCGCGATGTAGACGTGATGGCCAATGCTAAGTGCAAAACATCTGGTATCTGTATCATACTCCAAGCAGTGTACAGGCCCGTCGACTCCTAGGTCAAAATCTTTGTGGGAGAAATTGTCCTTGGATTGCAATGATATGAGATTAGCACTCCTCGGCGACGCTATAGAAGACTTACGATCTGCAAATGTCTCAGTTGACACAGATTACCGTCCTCACACCCAATTATAACAGTATCTCTCAGTGCTGGATGCCAGAATACGACAGTCACTGAGGAATCGAGAAGAAGGTGGTACAAGATGGAGCCATCATCCAGCCTCCATATGATGACACATTTATCATCACTGCCACTGGCGAGATACTTTCCGCAATGAGAAAAAGCAAGGGAGTTAATGCTGTCACTGTGCCCCTCACTGAGGGTGCGAGTATGGATGTATGCAGTCATTGATGGGCTTGAAGCTTGAAGCTTGAGGAATCGCAACATAACTATATATAGTCACGGTGGCGGTTTCTTTGTGACCTTCTGAGAGGGGTAACATCTTTGTACTGTAGAGTCATAAAGCGGTCATTGCTTGGTACACATGTGCACAGCTAAAAGTGACACTGCTGCCTGCCATGATAACGGTAACCGGGAAATTCTAGTGGAAGACTCCAGATTTAAAAGGGCTGTCATTTGTCCAGCGTTAGTGTGGTCCGATGAGACTCCATCCGATGATCCAGGAACAGCGGTACTTGTGTGATAAATGATTTTCTGATCAACCAATGAAAACAATTCACAACCTTACCTTTGGTCTTCGCCTTACAATGTGCAACTTCTTTGTCCCTCGGACAACTTGGAACAAATGAGCCCTGTCTGAATTCTGCAACCATGCACACCTGGAGAGCACCTGGGGGCACCTCGAACGAATCGACGATAGTGGATTTCTCATTGTGTTCACGTAAAGCTGCATGCGCCATTCCTATGTCGTTTCACCGCCAAAAGCGGGGACATCTTTCAGTTAATCTGCCCTTTGCTGTTGTGTAGCGCGATCTTCCTCGAGTCTTTAATATCATCTTGGGAGATGTCAACCCAACTGGCATACGACTCCTACCATTTGTTGTTCATTTGACGCAAACAAAATACATTTTTGGAACAATACAAGAAAGAGCAAGAATGGACTGAAAGAATTTAATGATGTAAGGTGAGTGATTCTTGAAGTCTACAACCAGGTGCATGTGAAGGAAGCCTTGCGCTTCATGTAAGGTGTTTGGCGTTTGGCATTTACACAAAGGGTTACATTGTGCGCAGTGCGAGGGCGGGTCAAGCTTGAAAGGGATTAAACATTAGTGATGGAAAGAAAAGGTGGAGCGGTGGCGTTTGAAGCTTGAAGACTCACAGATTTTTGCTTCCGAGTGGCTTAGCTGGCATAGCATTCAGCACAAAGGTGTGCGCTTGAAGGGAGCCTTGCGCTTCATGTAAGGTGTTTGCCGTTTACACAAAGGGTTGCGTTATGCAGGGCGCAAGGGCAGTTCAAGCTTGAAAGGGATTAAAGATAAGTGATTAGTGATGGAAAGAAAAGGTGGAGCACCACACCATACCGAGTTAAACGGTCAAACAAAACTTCCCATGCATGATTCCGGATTCCGGAGTCTCTGGGTTAACATAGGTGAGGATTATGCCCCAATAGGATGAAGGCACGTGGTAACATGGCTTAGAAAAATGCCAAATATCAGCTTACCGAAAGTCAGTGACCGAATGACATAGCAATAAACATGAGCATCCAACACATACTTATACAAGCGGTGACCTCTGTTTGTGTTTCACTGTCCAACGGAGCAGTAAGGATGAGAATAAAACATGATTCGTGGAATACAGTGGTTCTTGAGCAGTTGGATTGTGACAAATCGACCACATAGAGCGTACTCGCGGTAGTCCGAGTCGCCAGCTAGTGTTTATAATTTTATCGTTGAATTCGTCACAAAATAGGTTTTGTGGAAAGAATAAAGCACATTCGAGGCAAGTGTGAGCCCATTAGGCAGCATGTGCAGAGAGCTTTGTTAATGTCAGTTTCACAGCCACGATGAGAATAGGCAACGCACGATTGCTGTCACTGAGAGGTTTTATTGGTTCCTGTGAAAATAGCATGGGGAAGGTGAGACAACGGCGGGCAACAGGAGGACAGTGAATATTGTTTACATATAGAGGTGAAGTGTGAGTAGGAGTGCCTGTTAGTTGTGTGGTGACTTCACACTAGATAGGTCGAAGACTTCTAAGACTTCAAAGACTTGAAGGACACTTCAAGGACATTACTATATTAGTAGATAACTTCGAGGACTTCGAGGACTTCGAGGACACTTTGAGGACACATACCATACTAGGAATTGTTTATATTTGTTTACATAGACTCGCCCATAGTGCAGAGTTCACAAGTCTTACATGCTTCGTGCATTGACTTTGAACTCTCAGGTACAGTACTTTACTTATTTACACAATAATATCAAGTGCATTGACTTTGAACTCTCAGTTCTTCTAACAACATGAGACCAGTGCTGGCTCTTATGGCACTTATGGCACTGAATGGCCACTTCACTCTCTTCCTGGAGATCTCCATGTTCCCGACTTCCACACCTGCAGTAGAAATCATATTCCCCCACCAAAGATCCTCGAGTTCGGAATGTGCGTATGGAATGCAAAGGAATTCTCTCGTGTTCCTTCATTTGGCCGGCGGTCTTTCCTCAAATCTTGAGATACCTTTGGTGGTTGATCTGATGTCTCTTGAGACAACGCACTCAGTATCATCTTTTCGGATAAATTCTTTTAAATTGCCCGCAGGACGCTAAAATATGTTGCACAAACACTAACAAGAGGGTGGCTGAAGTTCTTCAACGCACCTTTGTTGTGTCAGCTGGGTTTAAATTTGATACAGCAGGTCCACCATGCTCGATGATCAATGATCCCTCTTCAAAGGCCTACCTCCGCGAACGAAAGTGGTCGATCAAATCGTGCATGTCGTGTCCCTACCATGCTCCTTCAAGTTGTTCCTTGAACCAATTCTGACGAATACTCTGACGACTTCGTTCGAAGCGGAAATGACACCGGAACACGTCTGACACACAATACGATAGTCAGGCTCGACCACCTTCAATTGGGCGCCTAACCCACCTGTGACAAGGTGACATCATTTGCCCTTGGGTTCGTTCGTTCGTCCTCGCATTTGTTCGTTTGTTCATTTGTTCGCTTTTTTTTTCGCATTTGTCCTCATGTTTGTTTGTTTGTCCTCACGTTCACTCATTTGTCCGCATCTTTTTGTCACGTTTGTCCCCGCATTCGCTTGTTTACCCTTGCGTTTGTTTGTTCGCCCTCATGTTCACTCGTTTTTCCACGTCTGGACTGCAGGTCGTCAATGAATTATATCTCTACTCAATGGAGGGCAAACAGCTTGCTCCAGATTTCGTTGGTGCTACAGAAGTCAATGGCCGCCGAGCACAGTTGCACTTTGTCGTGTTCCTGACTGGGTTTACCAACCCTGGGATTGTGGCACGATACGATTTTGATGAACCAGGTGAAGACAAATGTTGGAGCATTTACTGGTTAACAATAATGGAAAGGCTGGTACCGGATGAGTTCAGCGCTGAGCAAGTCTGGTATGTCCAACTCCCTTCTGACGGTGTCGTGTGGAATTGCCATCTAGAGGAACTGATACTCCTTCACACTTACTAAGTGATCTACAAGTAGCTGATGCAATTTTTATTATTACTTTAGACATTTCGTTGAAATGCATCTTCTCCTCGTCCATTCGTTATTCTTTTCCTTCGGCCTTGCTCAGGCAGCTGTCACTGCCTGTGGTCCGCATGTCCAATCACTGTTTGGGACTATGACGGCTGCCTCTGCCTCATATACGGGCTCAGCTTCATATGACCGAACAATATTATAACCACCGCCCCCACCTAGTCCTCCCTCACCCACCCAGTTCAATGTGGACCTCCGACCTGCAGACCGGAGATGTCTCGGGAGTCTCAATTCAACAGCAAGGCTCATTCTTTGGCTTCAGTATAGAGTTTAGTGTTATGACACAAGTCCATAAGTATTTTGTTCACTCGCATGTGCATCCACTGAACATATCTTGTAGTCGGGCTGAACAGGTAACTAATTCAGTTGCCAAGAAGTACTATAGCATTTACCTCGATTGCCAGTCCTTTCCTCCAAGTCCCGTTTCTCAACCTTATGGCCGACCTGCGACAACGCGGGGGCAGCGTTAGGGTTCGTGTCGGTGGTAATACTCAAGAGACCGCTACCCTAGTGGCCAGTACCCCGGACAGTGCAGCTCTCGAGAAGGACTACGCAGGCATAGCCAACCCCGTAAGTGCTTTTTTTCTTTACTCAATTATCCTGAGACTGAACACCCACAAGACGGCAATGCTGCCCCTTGTCTTCACAACTGAGATCATCAAAATGATGGCCGAGATATCTGCACTCACTAATGTCTATTGGTACATGGGTATGCGATACATGATAATACTCTTGTTGTCACTGACCTTCTTGCGCAGGTGTGCCGTTCAATGACACTCAGTATTGGCACTTGCAGATCGCTGAAGCCAAAACTTATTTTTACTTGTTTGCCCTTGCGCTTCCTCGCTTGCCCTCGTGTTCGTTCGTTCGTTCTCGCATTGACTTGTTTGGTCTTGCGTTCCCTCATTTGTTCTCACATTGACTCATTTGTCCGCATTTTTGTGCCCCACCTCCTGGTTAGTATTTTCTGCATTTGTCCTTGCATCTGTTCATTTGTCCTCGTGTTGACTCGTTTGCTCGCATGTTCCCTCATTTGCCCTCGCGTTGACTCGTTTGTTCGTTTGTCCTTGCATTGACTTGTTTGTCCGCATTTTTGCGCCCCACCTCCTGGTTATTATTTTCCGTGTTTGTCCTTGCATTGACTTGTTTGTCCGCATTTTTGCGCCCCACCTCCTGGTTATTATTTTCCGTGTTTGTCCTTGCGTTGACTCATTTGTCCGCATTTTTTTTCTCGTGTTCGTTCGTTCACCCGCAATTTTCTCGCATTCACTCATTTGCTCGTGTGTCCCCTCATTTGCCCACATTTTCTTCTCACGTTCATTCGTTTGTCCTCGCATTTGTTCATTTGTGCTTGCGTTCCCTGGTTTGTCGGCGTTTTTTTTTGTGTTCGTTCATTTATTCTTGCGTTCCCTCCTTTGTCTGCGTTTTTTTCTCGTGTTTGTTTGTTTGTTCAGTTGTTCTTGCATTGACTCGTTTGTCCGCATTTTTTTCGTGTTTATCCTCGCGTTCATTCGTCCTTGCATTCCCTCATTTGTCCGTATTTTTTTTCGCATTTATCATTGTGTTAGTTCATTTGTTCTTGCATTGACTCATTTGTCCACATTTATTTTTCGTGTTTGTTCATTTGTCCTTGCGTTCCTTTGTTTGTCCCCATTTTTTTTCGCATTTGGCTATCAAACACTATGTTGGTAACGTCCTCTGAGTTATCTTGTCCGCATTTATCCTCGCGTTCGTTCGTTCGTCCTCGCGTCGACTCATTTGTCCCCGCATTCCCTCGTTTGACGGTGGGTTCCCTCGTTTGTCCTTGCATTGACTCATTTGAAAACCAGGGACCCTATCTACCTCCCACCTCAAGAGGCTGCCTGGCCCTATTGCCCCAACTATTCCAATAATGTGGATCGTGATCAGCAACCCGTTCGCTCGTTTGTCCGCATTTTTTTTCGCATTTGCCCGTGCATTCCCTCATTTGTCCTTGCGTTAACTCATTTGTCCGCATTTTTTTTCGCATTCATTTGTTTGTCCTTGTGTTCCCTTGTTTATCCTTACGTTCACTCATTTGTCCATGTTTTTTTTCGTGTTTGTTGGTTTCCCTGCATTGTTCCTTCGTGTTTTGTTCTTTTTTTCCGCGTTCGTCTGTTGCCAGCAGTGGTGGGCTTGGCTCTGATCCTGACAGTGTTGATTCTGCCGATTGACCTGTCTTTGGAAGATGGATACATCTCCAGTATAATGGTGCATGCACCTGAAGTCTGAAGGCGCCGCACTTTCTCTCCCATCCCCGCACACCTTCATGTAAGTGCAAGAAGCCTGCCTTTTTCTCCTGTCCACCTCCGCCCATCCATGGGTCTCGAATGAGTGGGAGACTTCATGTACTACATCAGGCTTGTCAAATGTTGACATGAAAGCTGAATTATGAACCGCTGTCTGCTTGCGGTGCCGTCCGTTCAGGCTTTTCATGGTGACTTTCTTTAATAATTGAACAATGCACTTTTAACATTTGTGATCTGAATGAATACCACATAGTGGTGCAAATATGTAGAGAAGTAGCTACCCTGCACATATAGAGGTCAAAAGTTGAGTTTTTTTACTAGTAGTTGTACAAATGCCCACTGTTTGTTGGATCTTGCATGTCATGGCCCATGGGACACAGAAAATTGATGAATCCTTTAAGTTGGCCTTTCTTATGCACAACTAGCTGCTTTTGCTCCTTGACATCTTGTACCTTCATTTTGTCTGTCGAAACATTGAAAAAATAATAATTCATGTTTCAATGATTTTCTGTGTGCGGGACATGATGCAAAAATTGATCATGTTCCTTCAAGGATAATTTTCCATGTATTGTGTGCAGAAAAAAATGTATAATTTGTGCATGTTCTGAGGCAGAGTATCCTGCAATCATGTTTCTTTTTTTTTTCTCTGAACATAATAAATGTTTTTCAAGTGTTGTGCAGCAGGAATATACTGCAAACATCATTTATTTATTCTTACAAAACATGAGGCATGTTTCATGAATTTCTTCTTACCAAATATACAAATGAATGTTTGAAAGTTTCTTTGCTTTTCCTGAACAAAACATTGTCAAAATATATTTTATTATTTGTTATATGATTTTTCAATGTTCTTGGATCAAACATATGGTGAACAGGATGAAGTAATTGAGATTTTTGATGCACAGAACATTGGAAAAACAGAGGCAAAAAATTTAACATGATTTTAAATTGTTATTTGAAGAATGATGAGTGAAAAAGATTGACTGTTTCCCGAGGGAAAATGACACATTTTTATATTATGTCTTGCATACAGAAAATCTTTAATACATTCATTATTTTTTTTCAATGTTTTGATACACAAAATGCAAGGAAATTTCTATCTTCTAATTCAATGTTTTTTGGATGTTTGATGGAGGAACATGAGGCAATGCCTGCAGTGATTGCTGATTTACGAGAGGCAGGAAAAAAGGTAAAGGAGGAAGCCCGTCAGCTCTTCCAAGACAAAGTTGACCACATCATCATGTGTCTGATATGTGTCCAAGGCTTGGTACCACATGTAATAGAGTCTCCAGAGTGGAAGGATTTAATGGGGCTTCTCAGCGACTCATATAATCCCACGTCTGCCACAACATTTGCAGATAAATACATCCCTCACGAAGCCGTCTACATCCACGAGATGCAAATCAAGACTTTGCATATGATCAACAACCTTACTCTCACATTCGATGGAAACACCACACGAAAACCACATTCAATCTACACTGTTCACGCCACAACTCCTTCACATGAAACTTACTTTCTTGATGCTCATGAAGGATCTGACGAGCAACACACTACGCAATGGGTGACTGATAAGCTTTTCAAGGTTCGTTTAACTGCTCTTTAACTTGGCTCCATCTGATCATATCACAGACAGTCTGCTCCGTTGGTGAAGGTAATAGGGGAGCCACATGCTCAGATAGCACAAATGTTACGAAGGCTGCTTGTCGTGAGCTGGTTACCACTGTTGGCACTATGCTGGACCTTTGTGATGCTGTGCACCACCTTCATAACATGATTGGAGACATCAACAAATTGCCAAAACTCAAATTTGTGAGTTTCATCAACTCGAGTTTATTGAGTTTGAGCTAATTCAACTTTCACATTTTTAAAGTTCATGTCAATGCTCAAGGGCATCATCAAATATTTCAGCAAGTCTACATACTCGACCACCATGCTTCGAAAGGAACATAATATAGCTGGCAATGATGAGCCTGTGAAGGCTCTCAAGAAAATTGGCAAAACTCGTTTCGGAACTCACTGGACAGCTGCCAATGCTCTTGATCCCTGTTTACCCCATATTCGCAACCTCGTGGCTGCAAAAACCATCAAATTCAAGGTAATGTTCTCCGTCACATTTTCAGAGTCAAGTTGCAATATGCTGATCATTGGGTCAGAATACCAAAATCCAGGGCATGTTTATGAACCGGGCTTCAGGCAAATATAGCAGGTTCAAACAGAGTTTACTCCAGTATATCACCATTGTTGCACCCATTATTTGGTCATTGTGGTCATTGGAAGCAATGCATTGGACGTCTTCATTTTCTGGCTCGCAATCATAGCCACGCTCAATGACCTGTTTTTAAAAGGGCCGAATGTGACTGGTATACCAGTAACTCTCACCCGTGAAGTGATGGCTATCATCAATAAACGGTACTGTGATTTTTTCACCAATGAAGTCTACTTTGTTGCTTTCCCATTGGACCCACGTAAGTTATGAAAAACCTTGCCTTGCACTCGCAATTGACTTCGGTTAAATCCAGGGTACCCAAACTCCAATTTTTTCAAAAAGCCTACTGTGAACACAACAACTATTGTTATTCCTGCAATATCTCAGAGAACTGGCCAACATACTCCCCTCACATATCCCCATGCCTATACTCGCATCAAAGATTTCCTCAAAGACAAGCTTCAGAAAGACCTGGCTCACTATGTCACGAATCCCGAGTCTGCACTACCAACTTCAATCTTCAAGGTACTTTCTGCGGCGGACATTGCGAGTGGGTTGTGGCACCAGATCGAAGTGTTTTGGCGTGATGAATGGCCCTTCAATCAGCAAGTCAAAGACAGTAACCCACTTGTGTGGTGGGAATCTTTGCAGGATCATCCACATGCTCGTGTTCTTGCTGTAAGTTTTGCTTTTTTAGTCAACTTTGTATTAAGTACAATCATCCCCGCAGCACCTCACCATTAAGATATTTTCCGTTCTTGTCAACTCCATGCCCAATGAACGTACAAATTTGACCATCACATGGTTCAATTCCCCAATACGAGGCAGCCAAAATGCCCAGACACTCGTCAACATGATACAAATTGGACAATGGTATGGAAAACATCATAACACGGAGTACATGCCATCAAAATATTGGCCGGTCATCAAGTTCCAGAACATCGAAGAGAGTGTGCTACAGGCTGTCCAAACTGGCAGCGCAGATGATGAGTTAGTGTTGGATGTGGGCGCAATGGATTCGGACAACGAAGATGAAGCTGAGGACGAGCTGTTGGAATCGGAGATAGACAAACACCAGCCCGCTCAAGATGTTGCCTTTGAGATTCATCCTGACATCGATATCAACTCGAAGGCATTGAAGGATATGATCTCTACTGACCCAGTTTCTGTTGTCTCCGTTGACCTATCATTTGTGTTGTCTCCGCAGGCTGCCACGATGGTGACTGATGACGGAGATGCAGACTGGAATTATTAGACTCGCAGATGACCTTTTTCACAATTGTTCACCGTGTTTCATTGTTAACAATGTTAATAACCTATTTCTAACTCGTTAGTAACACAAATGTTAGGAATTGTTATTAACCTGTGTTAACATCAGCCCTGGAGCGCCCCATGTTACTAACAAATGTTACAAATCGACCGTGAATTATTCACCGAGCCCTAGTGTTGTGATGATAGGATATTCAGCATTAGTTGGATTTAGGGAAGTTAGATTGGTTTGAGGTGTTGGGTGAGGCGGTGAGGCGGTGAGGCACTGTTGGGCGCCTGGTGGTTGAAGTTTTCCGGGGTCCTAGTCGGGGTGCCACCTGGTTCTAAACCAAGAAGCACTATAGTCCACGCTCCTACCCAACAGACATTTCAAGGGTGAGGGTCCCATCTAGTACAGTAGTAGATAATCAAATAGAGCAATTTTTTCTCATCTACCATAATTCAAACACTGAACTTCTCCCTCCACCCTCTCAATGACCGCTGGCGCAAAACACAAGAAAACAAGTAAAGCCACAGGTCCATCAGTAGATTTACGAAGTCCACCACCCAATTAAGTAATTGTTAAGAAGCTTCCCCCTTAGCAAATCTCAGACGTGGTGCCCTCGGTCAGCAAAATATGCAATAAAACCCTTCAAGTCTTTGGGCAGAGACCATGCCTATGGCAGATCAAAGTCACGCAAGCTGTCCTCCAACACAACCAAGATGTTGTTTCAATATCTGCGACCAGCTCCAGAAAAACATTGACATTTTGGATGTCAAAAATACAAACTTCATTGAGCATACTGTAGTCTAAAAAATACATAGTGTGGTCCTACAATTTTCACGAGTGTCATCCGACAAGAGGTGTGTACATCCAATGGGACCTCCAAGTCCTCAGATCTCTCTTCGACATCATCAACCTCTGCCCAATATTGTTCTCCATCTTCATCAGCGATGTCATGTGCCATCATTGGAACAACAAACTTCTGATTGGCTGAGAGCAAGGCATCCAGCAGGTGCCACAAGTCCAGTGCGATATCCTTGATGTCTTTGGCCATATCTTCTAGCTGGAATTCCTCCAGCTGCTCAGCAAGGACATTGGTTGCGCTAAAATGCCATCCATTTTCTTCTTTCGAAAGCTGCACTACTGATTGTTTGAGCCGCTCAGTACATAAGGTGGACGCCCACGAGACAATCAACGAATTGAGATTTGGGTGAGCAAGAGAAGTTGCCAAGATTGTTGTAAAGTGAGCAGCCAGGTCATTGATAGGAAATTGTGAAAATTCATAGGGGGATTCCAAGAGAGAAATTACAAAGGCTGAGACAGAGACATTGAGTTCCATGAGTGTTTGCAGGATACAAAGTACCCATGTGCATGTGTAATGGTCATACTTAGCGAATTGATAACAGCGCGGACAACTCTATACACTTGCCAAATTGGCTCAAGCGTGAATTGGTCCACAGGTGCGGAGGACCTGTGGCTTTACTTGTTTTCTTGTGTTTTGCGCCAGCGGTCGTTGAGAGGGTGGAGGGAGAAGTTCGGTGTTTGAATTATGGTAGATGAGAAAAAATTGCTCTATTTGATTATCTACTACTATACTAGATGGGACCCCCACCCTCAAAACGTCTGCTGGGTAGGAGCATGACTATAGTCGAGTTTTTCATGCAAAGTTTAGTATACTGGCATGCACTGCGGCTCAACGCATAAGCATCTTCATTTGTTGATTCTATATACATTCTATCTAATACAACTTCTTCAGCTGACAGGTATGTGCACTGCGGCAGCCCACTGGAGGCTAGTAGTCCAGAGCGGCCTCCAGCAGCTTCTCGGCTGCCCAAGCTGCCGCTCATCTGTCTCCTGTCTCACCACCCGTCATCTATAAAGTAAGGGAGAACGGTGGCGGGAAGGGACGGACGCTCGCGTGGTTTCCACTTGCACCGCGTAGATATGCTTAGATACGCTTAGATTCGCTAAATGCCATGTAGTTTCGCTTACCTTGCTTAAAGCTCGATTTGGAAACTCGTGTGGCTGTCACATGATCTCGAGGGTCCGCTGCCCGTTAGGGCAGCAAGCATTTAAAAACATTTATTATTTATGAAATTCAAATTATATACACACAAAATTTAACTACATAAAGAAGAAAAGTCAATTGAGAAATGGGAAATGAGAATGGGAGAATGGGGGAGATGGGAGAACAGAGAAAATGAGGAAAATTGCAGAACAAGAGAACAGAGAACAAGAAAACAGGAGAAACAGAAAATGGAAGAATGGGAAAAATGGGAGAAACAGGAAAATGGGAAAAGGGGGGAAAGAGGGGAGAGGAGGACGGGAGGA